TAAAATAAAAAAAGAATGTTACAGAGGTGAAATATCCTTTTTATCACACCATATGAAGGGAGTACGTGATATCAGAATGATTCATCACTGGTAATATCTGCCTATTTCTCCACTGTAAATTTACTATTTTTCATTTTCCATACTCTGTACTTTGGAAGTCAGTGAACAATTTCAGTTTACACTTATGGGGTAGGAATTTAAGCTCCACTTTCTGGAGGGGGATGTTTACATATATTTGGAATTTTTCTATAAGAAAAATTATTCCTTCCCCTATTTACTTATTTAGTTACTTAATATATCAGTATGAACTCATATATGTTTATTTTATGCTTTCAGTTATAATCTGACATATTATTTACTTTGTTGCTAAAATTGTTTCAGCTTTAACCATTAGGAGCTCTTTTAGGTTGGCCCTAGGACAGGCTCCCATCATTGTGATTTTCAAGCATTTTCTTAACTACTTACTACCAAATGTTTCAGGTTCATCTTTTAATTCACTTCCGCCAGCTCTAAAGTCAATATTTCTCTAAGAAGGCCTAGTGCCTTTTATGGTAGAATGATATCTAGAAACCAAGATTTGGGTGTCGAGTGTGCTACTAGGTGTCACAGATTCTAGGCCCTTTCAGTAGATAAAGCCAGGGAAGGTTTATATGCATACTATCCCATATATGCACATATATATATAATTATCTATCTATCTATTCATACATCCAACGTGAGTTCAAACTGATATCTCTAACTAATCTAGCACCACAAGCTTCATTCCAGTTTTCCTCCCTTACTCATTTTTAACTCCTTTCACTGACAATGAGAAATTTGCCTCTCATTTTTTAAATATATTTACTTTTTAAAACCTTAATTCACAGGTAGTTTCAGAATTGCTAATCTGTAACCTCATTAGCATTGCTAACACATTTACCACCTAGAGTACATTGTTCATATACAGTTCTTTTTGTCTTTAGCTTTAGAGTTTCCAGTTAAAACACAGTTCTCCAAAGTTACTTAGGTCAATTCCTCCCGACCTCCCACTAACTTCAGTGAGGTTTGTCATAGTCTGCAATTCATCCTGGGATCCTCAACATCTTGGTTGGTTGTTTTTGATTTAGATACACTTAAGTTCACTCTTTGTAGTACACAGTTCTTTGGGTTTTGAAAAATGTGTAGAATAA